TGCATAATCCTAGCGCTGCTGTCTGCACTTTAATGCTAATCAAATAACAAAAGACAAAAGATCGCACACTATTCTTGACTAAATAACTTTTGTAACTTTCATAAGTGTAGCGGACCTCATCTGAATGATGACTAAAACTTTACTGATGTTTTATTAAGTGTGAGTCCTTTTTCACTCCAAAAAAATCACCATAAGAGCTAAACAAAACACAGCACGAGAAGTGCACATTAAACTCTCTCTCAGTTGCATTATCATCAACATACAGCGAATTACACAAAACACTTATTACAACTAACAGTAAACAAATATATACAGATCTTATGCCGTTTCGGGGGGGGGGGATGCTTGCTTAATAAACTGACAAACTTTAAATCCGAAAAACTGCGTGCTTTCATTACCCATATAATGTTAGCGCTGACGTAGACTAGAAAACCTGTCAAAATAAGAGTCCCGCCTTAGTAAAGGAGATCTCATACATATTTAAACTTAAAAAAAAATTTTTTTTATTGTATACAAAAACAAATTAGAAGATTAATCATAATAAAGTCTGTTACAATAAAGAAGGATTAATATGCATTTAATTTATGCAGTGAAGTTACTTTACATTTGTTTACTTTATTTCTGTACCTGAAAACTGTTAAACCTACCTAAAAAGCACTGTTTATTTAATATGTATCTTTGTTCTGTTGTATTTATGTAGGCCTGCTGAATGTTAAATGGATCAATCCATGTTCATTAGAAATTATTTGATGGTACAGCAATAAAACTGCTAGTATAATTTAAAGCAGGTGTTTTTGAACTTTGCTGATTTAAAACACGATCAAAATACTATCTATTTTGATGCCAAAATTTCAAATAAGAGAGGAAGTAACAAATATCGGTATCGGAACAAGTGTTTGTTAAAATCGGTATCGGTATCGACCCCAAAAAATCCTATCGGTGCATCCCTAGTTTCTTTTTAGATTATATTAATTTTTATGTCAGTTTTGGTTTTAGTTATTTTAATTAAACTAAATGAAAGTGATAAATGTTGCTTTGGCAACTAGTTGAAAAAATAAGTTTCATGTTTTTTTTTAAGTTTATTTTTTATTTCAGTTAATATTTATTTTAAGTATCAAAATGTTTTTTAGGTTTAGTTTTATTTGTAGTTTTAGCTACTATAATAACCCTGATTTAGACACAATAAAAGTCCTGAAATTTAAATTTGTAGTGTAGCCGCAAATACAATGTATGAAATGTAAAATATGTATATGATAAATTTCCATTAAATATGCACATACTAATATTACATATTATTACTATCATGTTTATTTAACTAAATATTGTATAATTAAAAAATATTTAAATACTGTATTTATTGTAATGTGTTCAAAATACTTCATAACCCCATGAAAATGAACTATAGGTTCGATAAAATGATTTTCCACAAAACCCTGACAGTCACCTGTAATATTTAAATTTAGAGCTTTGTACCTATTAAAAATGTGATAGTTGCAAAGTATTTCACAAAGTTGTTAAATCCAGCCAGACCATCAGTTGTGCCTTGTAGTACCTTTAGTCTTTTCTCTTTCATTTGTTAGTTCGTTCTTAACCTGTTCCTCTCTCTCTGTTGTAGTTTGGGTGAGATGGAGCGGGCACGTCTGTCATGTCCCATAACCCCTCTGGGCCGCGCAATGGCCGCGTTTCCCGTAGCACCGCGGTATGCTAAGATGCTGGCGCTGGGCCGTCAGCAGGGCTGTATGCCGTATATCATCACCATAGTGGCTGCCATGACCGTCAGAGAGATCTTTGAGGATTATGACAGGTCATTCACATTACACATACACATTTCATTTACTTCTGTTGATATAGTTCAAAAGCAACATTAGCTCACACCCTGTCTCTCTCTGGGTTTCTCAGGCCTGCGGCCAGCGAGGAGGAGAGCACTAAGATGGCAGGGAAGAAAGCCAGATGTGTTCAGATGAGGAGGTTATGGGCTGGTCAAGGACAGTCAGTTCAGCTGGGAGATCTGATGGTTCTGCTGGGTATGAGTTTGATTTCCATTTTGAAGGTTGTTGTCAAATGTTCAGACATTCAAGTCTAATGTGAAAACTTCTTAAGATTTATTTTGTCAGAAACATTTCCTGCACCAGTGTTATTTATATACTATTATAGTATTTATTTATATTTTGAATTAGCTTTTGTTTTGTATTTTTAGTATTCATTTTAATTTTAGTTTAAGGAATATTACATTTTTACTACTATTATTATTTTTAATCCTATATAGCTTTAATTTTTATTTCAGCAACAGTTATAGTTTTAGTAATTTTAATACTTTTTTGTTATTTCTGCGTGTTTATTTTAATTCAAGTAACAAATCTTTTTTTTTTTAAATGATTTTAATTTTAGTTAACTATAATAACTGTGGTTCTGTTTATTTATTTTTTTCATCTAATAATTTTATTTAATTTCATTTAATGAAAATTATTTTTAATAGTTTTAGTGAAAAGTAACAACACTGTCCTATAGTGGTCAACTGACAGAATTTTATATACACACACACACACACACACACACACATATATATATATATTGAGATTTTGCTATTTAATTGAAAGATAGTAACTAACACATGCATAGCAATTACTGCAATTAAATGCATATTTATTTTACATAAATATAAAAATAATTGTTACGTCCCAGTGAGTGCTGCAGCGCTGATGAGGGCTGGCTACGATGTGACTGTACTTGCCTAAACTATTTTATAGTTTTTCGTCTGTTATGTTTATTTGTTCGCATCCATTTCAGACCTTGAGCTTACAGTGAGTCCACTGTCAAGCACACTTTCACGACTGACTTCCATTAATACTGTCTACTGATCGTTTGAATACCTTTGTTAATTATGATAGTTTGTTGAAGAAATGATTTCTTTCACTACTTGCCCGTCCGTGTTGGCTCTCGTTCATGTTGCAAATGTGAGTAACAATAATCATATTTATACTTTAGATAGATAGCAACTTCGTAGTTCTGTAAATCCTATTATAGTATTTTTCACATGAAGACATTGTTGAAAACATTAATAAAAAAGACATAAACACTAACAGTGTAATCTGGTAAATCTGTGCATACTGCATATTATATTTGTTCAAATTTATGCCAGGTACCATTAAGTTTACATTCAGTACCTAGTGAATATGACGTGTTATAAATAAAACATTATAACAAAAGTATTATAGCATTTGTATTTCTATTATTAGACTGAACTTTGAACAAAGACCGTAAACGAATGAAGACGAAGAATGGGAGAAGGCAAAATAAAAGTCCTGCTTCTGCCTGTTATCGGCCAAATAGAAAAAAACTGCTATATATATATACTCTTATGCGTGTATCTGTCATTAATTATTCTAAAGGGTGTGATGTTGATGGTTGTTTAGGGGCGGTTGGTGCTTGTGAATTTGCGGGCTGCACTCATCAGTTCTGTGAGGAAAATGGGCTTCGGTACAAAGCGATGCTGGAAATCCGAAGACTACGAGGACAGCTGACCAATGCTGGTACACATACACAAACATGCACATGCGTGATTTATTATTTGTGTCTGTGCCTTGAACCGTCTCTGTCTGTCACTCTGTCTCAGTGAATGCCGTGTGCTCTGACGCTGGCGTATATGTGGATAATAAGATGGCTCCTCCGACAGCGTCTCAGGTGCTGTGTTTACGGCAGATCGTACTGGCAGGTTTAGGAGATCACATCGCCAGACGAGTGCAGGCCGAGGAGCTGCTCGACCCCAAATGGAGGAACGGCTACAAGGTGCCTGGAAGTTTGCTTCTGATTCTGCTTTTGAATTTCACGGGAGTTATGTAGAAGTGTATATGCGTATGTGTGTGTTTCAGACTCCTCTGCTGGATGATCCAGTGTTCATTCACCCATCATCTGCCCTTCATAAGACGCTTCCAGAGTTTGTGGTTTATCAGGAAATCATGGAGACCACCAAGATGTACATGAGAGGTGTGTGTGTGTGTTTATATATGAAATGAGGGCATTTCTATACATTGCCCTTTAAATGCACTTTTTTATCATTTTTATAAATAAGGTTTTGTGTCTCAATAACAGATAAAAATTGTGGAAAATGGTTGGCATGACTTTTGCACTTTTATATTTATTCTAATAACAATATGAATTATAATTAGGTGAGTTAATAATAATAATATTTATTTTATTATTATAATATCCAGGGTTTCAGTCAGAAGTGGACATGGTCGCGCATAGTGGACCAAAAATAGAAATGTTTTAATAGTTTGAAATATATTTGAAATATAATTTTATATATTTATAGATTTATTTTACGTAATATTAACTAAAATTAAACAAGTATTTTTATTAATTAATTAATTTTAAGTTAATTACAAAATAAATCCGTAAAATAATCAGAATCAGAAGAGCTTTATTACCAAGTATGTTTACACACACAAGGAATTTGACTTGACGACAGGAGCCTCCAGTGCAGAAGAAAATACAAACAGTGCAGACATACATAGGAATAACACAGTAGGGATGTAATATAATAAATTTAAAAAAATTAGATAATGTACTATATACAGAAATAGAAGTATAGGAAAAATTGAATTGTTTAGATAAATGTACAGATATGTGTATTAGTGTGCAAATATGTTATTTACAAAGTGTGCAGTTTAATATAAATATGTCAGAAAACGATGTTAGTTGTGATGGATGATTTATAATGATGAAAGATTAATTGTTCAGGCTGAATATAGCCTGTGGGAAAAAACTGTTCTTGTGCCTGGCTGTTCTGTGGTCAGTGCTCTGTAGCGCCGACCAGAAGGCAACAGTTCGAAGAGAGAGTGGGCTGGGTGTGAGGGGTCCAAGGTGATTTTTTTAGCCCTATTCCTCACTCTGGAGATGTAAAGATCTTGGAGGCTGGGCAGAGGGGCACCAATAATCCTCTCAGCAGTCCTGACTGTCTGTAGTCTCTTGATGTCTGATTTGGTAGCTGACCCAAACCAGACAGTTATGGATGAACACAGGACAGACTCGATGATTGCAGAGTAGAACTGATTCAGCAGCTCCTGTGGCAGGTTGAATTTCCTCAGCTGGCGAAGGAAGTACAGCCTATAAATAAATAGGTTTAATAAATAAATAAACTTTCAGAGTTGTGACAGCTCTATGTACATAATACATCAGTTATATTTCAAAGGTGCTATGAAAATGTTTCTCTGTTTTGTTTCTTGCAGGTGTTTGTGCCGTTCAGGCCGAATGGATTCCGAAGCTCCTCCCACAATACTGTCACTTCAGCGCTCCGGAGGAAAGCCCCGCCCCCTGGTTCTGCCCACTGAGCGACCGAGTGAAGTGTCACCAGCAGAGCACCTTCTGTAAGACCTGCTGTCTGTCCTCCTGTTCTCAGCCAGAGTTCAAAGCCAACTCTTGTTTTTAGTGCCACTGTGTGTGTGTGTGTGAGATAACAGTCACATGATGTGGGTGTTAGTCTGAACATGGGTGTGTCTCTCTCCACAGACAGAGTCAGTTGGAAGCTTCCTGCCATTGAGATGGATTACCCAGAGGGCCTTGAGCATTACAAACTGTTTGCAAAGTTTTTCCTGGAGGGCCAGGTGACATTTATGAGTGTGTGTGTTTGTAAATGTGGGTGTCAAACAAAATAACATGGAATTGACAGTTAATCACTCTATAATAAAATACTGGTGAATGGTAAACCAGTTTAAAAACATGGCAAAGTTGGTAATTATGAAAAAAAAAATATATATATATATTTTTTTTAAATACATTACTGTTTAATAAGTCTCTTCTGCTCACCAAGGCTCCAGTTATTTGATCAAAAATTCAGGAAAAACATTAATATTGTGAAATATTATTATAATTTTAAATAACTATTTTCTATGATAATATATTATACAATGTAATTTATTTCTGTGATCAAAGCTGAATTTTCAGGATCATTACTCCAGTCTTCAGTGTCACATGATCTTCAGAAATCATTCTAATATGCTGATATCAGTCAAAAAAAAAAATCTTACAAACCCAAAACTTTAAACAGCAGTGTAAATACATCAATTGAAATATACCGTATTCGTGATTCATGATGGCATATTCATAAACCACGGTGTTGCTGTAGAAAGTGATGTGTGAACTTACTCCTGGCTGAATTTCTGCAGGTTTCTCCCAAGATTCAGCAGTTCAGCAGATGTTTACTGTCGTCACCCTCCACCATGTTGAAGACCTGGGCCAAGTAAGATCTAATGCACACTTAAACGTTTGTATGGAGTGTAAATAGAGTTGTTGTTGTATAATCTCACGCTGTTGATCTCAGGCTGCAGCCGCGGACTGAAACTCTTCTGACGACGCTGGTGTCAGAGAAAGTCAACAACAGAACCTCTTTAGAAGCTGCGTGGAAGAAAGATGAAAGATGTAGGTTGCTATGCATATGAAAATGTCTTGCTTTCTTGTGGTCATTTAGTGGAAATTGATTTTACTGGATTACAGACCATGCAGTGCAAACCTAGCATGATAAACTACTGTTCAAAAGTTTAGAATCAGTATCACATTAAACTGACCAAAAATGGACATTTATAATATTACACAAGATTTCTGTTTCCTGTTTAAAAAAAAAAAAGTAATAAAAAAAGGTAATTGTAAGTAGGGCTGCACGATATATCGAAATTATCGAAATATCGCGATATGCATATCGTAAGGGCGTGCGATATCTGAATCATTTTAATAATAGGCTACTTAAATCAAAACAAGTCAAGTAAATAAGTCAAAGTTTTAGTTCGATGCATATAGCGTAGAATTGCTTGACGTTAAAAAGAGTTAAGTGCAGTAAGTTGCCAAAAACAACTCTTTGGCGTCTCGTCTTGCTGTCTGACTCACACCTGAAGCCCGCGCACATTCAAACCGCATCTCACGCAGCGTCTCTTCAGTTCTGCCGCACACATGCAAAGCGCGCACGCACACACAGAGAGACGCGTTTCAGACCGAGTTGATTCATCTTTCGCATCTCCTCCTCCTTATGTTTGACAGACACATACACACAGAATTATGTCAATAGTACCCGTCTCGACGATCATTCTCGTAAATGCAGTCAGTTATGTTTTAAATGAATGTAAACCGCTGAGAAAGAAATCGGATGTGTATCATTATACTGGATCCGTGCAGTCGGATTTAAAGAGACAGCGGCCTATAAATACCTGCTGCTGCATATGTCACTAATGTTAATCAAACAACAAAACAGCTATAACAAAGATTAATCTAAATTTAATTCATACAGTGAACGCTATGCAGTGTTATTTTACACTTGATTATTACATTTCTGTATCTGAATACTACGGTTTATTTTATCTATGCTCGCTTTTTTCTCAGAATTTTGACATTTTGTTTCTCTGAATTTTTTTTCCTCTGACTTCACAGCATTGTTATTTTTGTTCACACCACGGAATAAAAAAAATCAGAAAGGTCATTTGAATCTATATCTCACAATTCTGACTTTTGTTCTCAGAATTGCGAGAAACAAAGTCTGAATTGTGCGACACAAACCCAGAATTGCAAGAAAAAATGTAATAAAATGTCGCAATTACCTTTTTTTAAATTGTAATAATATTTCACAATATTATTGTTTTTGCTGTATTTTTCAACAAATAAATGCAGCCTTTGTGAGCTTCTTTCAAAAACAACAAAAAAATCATACTGACCTGATTCTTTCTTTTCCAAGAAAGAATGTGAAACAAATTGGTTATATAATTTTCATTTTCAAATATTTTAAAATATCATTTAAATTGATTTTACACACTTTAAGCAATATCGTATGGCATATCGAATATCGCATTTTTTAACAAGATATCGCATTTTTCTTCAATATCGCACAGCCCTAATTGTAAGTTTATATTTTGCAATTTTGCCTTTTTTTCAGAATTGCAAGAAAAAAGCAAGAATTGCGAAATGTAAGCTCACAAGTGCAAGATAAAAATACTTTTTTCTCAGAATTTTGACATTTTGTTTCTCTGAATTTTTTTTTCTCTGACTTCACAGCATTGTTATTTTTGTTCACACCACGGAATAAAAAAAATCAGAAAGGTCATTTGAATCTATATCTCACAATTCTGACTTTTGTTCTCAGAATTGTGAGAAACAAAGTCTGAATTGTGCGACATAATCCCAGAATTGCAAGAAAAAATGTAATAAAATGTCGCAATTACCTTTTTTTAAATTGTAATAATATTTCACAATATTATTGTTTTTGCTGTATTTTTCAACAAATAAATGCAGCCTTTGTGAGCTTCTTTCAAAAACAACAAAAAAATCATACTGACCCTAAACTTTTGAACGGCAGTGTATATATTGAATGTAATTTAATATAAATATAACATAATATAAAGTGTGGAAAGAGACAAAAATGACTTTATTTCCCACAATAGATCTGCTGTCAGCGTTTTGTCAGTGGATCCCTGAGTCTCTTCATGCAGAGGTCAGTAAAAGCTGGCCACCGATCTGACTCGGTGACCTCTGACCTGTCTGACTACATGCCGACCTGCACTGGCCTTTTAATCATAAACGCAGCAGGACATGCGTGCCGTAAGACATTTTTAATGAACAGGATCTTCCTGCTTGTGCCTCATTCTCTGACATCACACGGATGGTCTCCTCTGAAAGCCTGTGGACAGATGAAGACTTCCAGTGTAAAACGATGTCAAGAACTCACGCGGACTTCTTTTTGTAAAAATCTTCAGATCAGAACACCAAAACAAATAAATTCCTCTGTCTTTAAACAAGCTTGTGTCTCCAAACTGTCTGTTCTGGTCTTTAGCTAACATTCTAACACTCCAGAATGTTTGCTAACAGCAGTGAGCGTCACTATTGCTATTGTGAATAGTGTTAGTGATGCAATCAAACAGTATTAATGTTGAGCGTGTGCGTCGTCCTGCAGCGTTTTGCTCCAGATATGAATGATTCTTTGTCTTGTTGAGGTGTGCTGGTACTTTACTAAATGATCAGATGTACCATTTTTACCTGTTGGACCATAACACAGATGAAAAAAATTAATAGAATAATACAATTTATAAAAAATGTATAGTTGACGGAGTATGGAAAAAAAATACTATGGAAGTCAATGGCTACCGTCAACTGTTTGGTTACCAACATTCTTCAAAATATCTTCTTTTGTGTTCAGACTCGGTTTGGAGGGTGATTAAATGACATCGGAATATTTATTTCTGGGTAAACTATCCTTTTAAAGGAGGGACTCGAGCCGTAGATACTTGACGGGACTCTTTTGACCCTAGAAACTGGGGTTTTATTATTTTATTGGTTTAGTTTCAGAAGTACTAAACATGGATTACTTTATCTTCTGTACTTTACGTTTCTGTAGCTGATTTCACTTCAACAAAATTATTTTTGTGACTGAAATATTTTTTTATTATAATTAAAAAAATATTTATTAATTATATTTGAATAATGCATTCTTCTAGCTCATGGAGTAGGATAATATTTCTTTATTGCATGTCTCTGACTACATGCCGACCTGCACTGGCCTTTTAATCATAAACGCAGCAGGACATGCGTGCCGTAAGACATTTTTAATGAACAGGATCTTCCTGCTTGTGCCTCATTCTCTGACATCACACGGATGGTCTCCTCTGAAAGCCTGTGGACAGATGAAGACTTCCAGTGTAAAACGATGTCAAGAACTCACGCGGACTTCTTTTTGTAAAAATCTTCAGATCAGAACACCAAAACAAATAAATTCCTCTGTCTTTAAACAAGCTTGTGTCTCCAAACTGTCTGTTCTGGTCTTTAGCACACTCCAGAATGTTTGCTAACAGCAGTGAGCGTCACTATTGCTATTGTGAATAGTGTTAGTGATGCAATCAAACAGTATTAATGTTGAGCGTGTGCGTCGTCCTGCAGCGTTTTGCTCCAGATATGAATGATTCTTTGTCTTGTTGAGGTGTGCTGGTACTTTACTAAGTGATCAGATGTACCATTTTTACCTGTTGGACCATAACACAGATGAAAAAAATTAATAAAATAATAAAAATAAAATGTATAAAAAAATTAATAGTTGACGGAGTATGGAAAAAAAATGCTATGGAAGTCAATGGCTACCGTCAACTGTTTGGTTACCAACATTCTTCAAAATATCTTCTTTTGTGTTCAGACTCATACCGGTTTGGAGGGTGATTAAATGACGACGGAATATTTATTTCTGGGTAAACTATCCTTTAAAGGAGGATATTCCTTTAAAACTATTCTTTAAACCCGAGCCGTAGATACTTGACGGGACTCTTTTGACCCTAGAAACTGCTTGGCAACACACTAACATTTTTCAGAAGTACTAAACATGGATTACTTTATCTTCTGTACTTTACATTTCTGTAGCTGATTTGACTTCAACAAAATTATTTTTGTGACTGAAATATTTATTTTTTATTATTATAATTAAAAAAATATTTATTAATTATATTTGAATAACGCATTCTTCTAGCTCATGGAGTAGGATAATATTTCTTTATTGCATGTCAAATTAATAAATGTAAAGGTAAACGAAATAATATTGGCAAACATATGGCTAATTGGCCTTTAAAAAACTAATCAAGGTCATCAGGACTGATCATTTAAATATTTACATTTTTTTCTTTCATTTTGGTGATGAGGATTCGTTTAAAATGACAAATAATGACAAATTACACATAATTGTCATGAAAATATTGGGAAAAAATGTAATTCTCCTAAAAATAGGCTTTATTTTATTTTTCCTTTATGTAAGGGAAAAAATCCTCATCACCAAAATGATAGAAGAAAATTATTTCTATGTTTGATAAAAGCATCTGTCAAATGCGTGAATGTAAATGTAATTTATAACATTGGTAATCAAGGCTTTTCTGCCATTAAAACAATTATGATGGTCATCAAACCTTCATTTAGTTCTGTCTCACTATCTGCAGCCATTTTCACACATCTTCAGGAAACATACGTACTTTGTCTGCGTTTCTGGTTTAAATGTGATTGTGTTCTTAAGAGGCCATAAGAGGTCATTTAGGGAGTAAGATGAGATCTTGAATATTTCTCGACTTGTCAAGTGAGTTTGTAACATGGGCCCCTCCCACAAACGCTGGTGATTTCCACAGAAAGTGAGGATTGTTTCGGAGTCACTTTGAAGAGCTGTTACGTGAGGCCAGTGAGACTGTCCACTCAAGTGCTGCTTTGATCTGGCCAGCGGTGACTTCTTTCACACTGTTCAAGCTGCTGGAGGATGCAAAAAAATCAGTGAAGTGGCAGCAGCTGCTGGGATGTGTTATATAACTGAGGTGTGCATGAACAGCCTGAGGTTTCCAGCTCAAACCGGCCAGCTCTGAACCACTGCTGGGCTTATTCTGATTCTGTCACATTTCAGCACAGAAAAGTCCAGCAATGAGGACTGAATACAAAAAGACCTTGAAATCAAGTAAAAGAGCTTGGATAGGTGTGTAAAGGATTGAGAAATCAGTTACTCTCTCTCTCTCTCTCTCTCTCTCACACACACACACACAAGTACACTTCTCTTTAAGTAGTTAATTTCTGTTACGACCTGGTAATTTTGAGTCATCTAAGAGAATCAAATGTCCTGGTTTTATTCCAAAAACTCCTCCAAATTTATTATGTTTTTACATAAATTTTTTTTTATGGAGCTCAATTTTAGGACCATTAAGAAGTATTTGCATTGACATGTTAATTACTAGGCAGAAATTCTCAAATGTTATAATTACTACTCAAATTATGTTTTTTTGTTTTGTTTTTTTACAGATGTTGTATATTGTTATATGTACATATATGTAAGTGTTATTTTAGTATTATTTATATACGTTTATAGTTTTTTATTAATATTTTCAACGTTATTTTTTAGATTTATTTTTAGGTCCATTTTGTTTTTTGTTTATTTCCAGTTAATGACTGAAGTGCTTTGACTTAAATATCTTTCAGTTAGTTGCAAAGGCAATGTTTTAATACTTATATTTTATTTTCATTTTTATAAGTTTATATATATATATATATTTATATATGTGTGTGTGTGTGTGTGTTTTAGGTTTATTTTTGGGTCCATTTTGGTTTTTTATTTATTTCCAGTCAATTTTAGTGCTTCAGTCAAAACAAGTAAGTTGCCAAGGCAACGTTTCTAAATTTTAATTCTATTTTATTTTAATTTTTACATGTTTTCTTTTTTTTTTAAGTTACTTTTTATGCTTATTTCTAGGTCCATTTTAGTTTTAATTTATTTCCAATTAATAATTTTAGTGCTTTAACCTAAACTTCTTTCAATCAGTTGCTAAGACAGTGTTTCTAAGTTTAAATATTTATTTAATTTTAATTTTAATTGTTTTACATTTTAGGTTTATTTTAAGGTCCATTTTAGTTTTCATTAATTTCCAATTAATAATTTTAGTCCTTTAACCTAAACTTATTTCATCTAGTTTCATGCAAAATTTCATTGTTTTTATTTATTTCTTTTTCATGTAATATTTATATTTTATTTTATTTAAGCTTTATTTCAGGTATCAAATTTAAAAAAATATATTTTTAGTTAATGATAATAACCCTGATGTATATCCATTGAATGAGAATTTGGAGGTTAAATGCACGTAATTGCAATGAAAATAACTTTACAGCACAAAATCTCATACTGTCTTAATTTTTTCTTTGTATTTTGTATATAATACATATATTTATGTATACATTTATTTATACCTTTATTTGACCCTCTAACTCTAGCACTTTCTATTCTATTTTAATTCTACTTTATATTTATCTTCTTTTTTTATTTAAAAAAACAAAACAAACAAACACTAGCTTTCTATTTTTTCTATTCTATCGACTTGTTTTTCTTTGGTGTGTGTGTGTGTGTGTATAATATATATATATATATACACCTTGCTACGTGTACTGTGTTAGGCTAACCGAGACTTGTCATTTGCACTTATATATTGTTGCTCTTTTGTTAGTTTTGACTGCTTTTATTGTCCTCATTTGTAAGTCGCTTTGGATAAAAGTGTCTGCTAAATGACTAAATGTAATATGTTCATTTTGTGTTGCATGCATTTGATGTACTTGGTGAGATTCACTAATGTGTGTATGTGTGTGTGTGTGTGCAGGATCCCTCCCTGCCCTGAAGGAAGTCAGAGGGGGAGGGTAACGCTCATTGATCTCTCACAAAATGGAGTGAAGTGTCACGCCTAGACAAACATGCCTGCAGTGGGCTGAGCAAGAGAGAGAGAGAGAGCAAGTGGGAGGGAGGAGAGGAAGTCCTGCCAGCACTGGAGGGAGTGGCCGGCCGAGGGAATGACAAACTAAAAAGGCGTGTTGGGTCAGTCACACCTGACAGCTCTCCAAACACATTGCACTAAACAAGCAGAGTGTCCCGAATCAAAGAGAAAACCAGCAGCTACAGAGAGAGAAAACCAGAGGAGAAATGAAGGACACAGCGAAGAAAGGAAACGGAGAGAAGAGAACTATGGGTAAGAGTTGAGCTGCTCTGATTCATTCCAGTCTCCTCCCTCTCTCTCTCAGCTTCTTCCTAATGCTTTCTCATTGCTTTGGATCAAGCTCTCTTTTGGTGCTTGTGTGAAAAGTTTCATGCCTACAGGGAGAAGCTGAACTCATGCACGCATTATGTGCATTAAAACACGCTCAGCTTGTGAAGATGATTCATTTTATGGTGCTTTCACTCTCTCTCTGCAAAACAAATACCAAACTTCACCTTTTACCTCCTGATATAGTCGTCCTCCCACTCCTGGCTGTCTACTGATTCACTTCTGTGTTCTTTCAGGCACTTACAAACACGCTCCTCTGTGAGATTCCTCATGGCATCAGGCCAGCGCCAGACTCAGACACATTCCTGTCTTTCATTAGGAGTGTGTTACTCTCGGGGCAAATGCATGTTATCATCATTCGTACTTGACATGATCGCATCACTCTTAAAGGGATAGTTCACCCAAAAATGAAAATGTGATGGTTATCTGCTTACCCCCAGGGCATCCAAGATGTAGGTGACTTTGTTTCTTCAGTAGAACATAAACAAAGATTTTTAACTCCAACCGTTGCAGTCTGTCAGTCATATAATGGCAATAGTTAATGGGCTCCACGGCTTTGAGAGTAAAAAAAAAAACATACACTGACAAAACCAAATTAAACCCTGCGGCTCGTGACGATACATTGAGGTCTTAAGACACGAAACGATCGGTCTGTGCAAGAAACTGAACAGTATTTATATCATTTTTTACCTCTGATCCACCGCAATGTCCAACTGTCCTGAGCGCGTTCACAACGCCCGGCGCGTGACGTCAAATAAATGCGGTCAGGCAAAAAATTCCACGTTGTCTGATGATATATCAAAATCGTCTTCCATTGTGATGACCTGTACTTCTAAATATCTTTAGATCATCGCAGTGCCAGTGAACACGTCCGCAATCTCTCTGCACTGTGTAAATAATGAGTGACGTATATGCACGACAGTTCGCTTTCGCACATGTCTACTATCATAGATATGTATAGATGCCCTATTCGACTGCTCCTGATATGTTGACGCGTCCGCCATTTTGGAACGTATTGCGGCCCATAGAAACAGTCACTAATGAGACATCTACTTATATATATCTATGTCTACTATGCCAGAGCACGTACACGTGTCACGCGCCGGATGTTGAGAATGCGCTCAGGACAGTTGGACATTGCGGTGGATCAGAGGTAAAAAATGATATAAATACTGTTCAGTTTCTTGCACAGACCGATCGTTTCGTGTCTTAAGACCTCAATGTATCGTCACGAGTTGCAGTGTTTAATTTGGTTTTGTCTGTGTATGTTTTTTTTTTACTTTCAAAGCCGTGGAGCCCATTGACTGTCATTATATCACTGACAGACTGTAACGGTTTGAGTTAAAAATCTTCGTTTGTGTTCTACTGAAGAAACAAATGGCGCTTTTCCACTGCATGGTTGAACATGGTACGGTTTTTCACTGGGTACAGTATCTGGTACCTGGTACTTTTTTTAGTACCACCTCAGAAGAAACTGAACAGTATTTATATCATTTTTTACCTCTGATCCACCGCAATGTCCAACTGTCCTGAGCGCGTTCACAACACCCGGCGCGTGACGTCAAATAAATACGGTCAGGCAAAAAATTCCACGTTGTCTGATGATATATCAAAATCGTCTTCCATTGTGATGACCTGTACTTCTAAATATCTTTAGATCATCGCAGTGCCAGTGAACACGTCCGCAATCTCTCTGCACTGTGTAAATAATGAGTGACGTATATGCACGACAGTTCGCTTTCGCACATGTCTACTATCATAGATATGTATAGATGCCCTATTCGACTGCTCCTGATATGTTGACGCGTCCGCCATTTTGGAACGTATTGCGGCCCATAGAAACAGTCACTAATGAGACATCTACTTATATATATCTATGTCTACTATGCCAGAGCACGTACACGTGTCACGCGCCGGATGTTGAGAATGCGCTCAGGACAGTTGGACATTGCGGTGGATCAAAGGTAAAAAAATGATATAAATACTGTTCAGTTTCTTGCACAGACCGATCGTTTCGTGTCTTAAGACCTCAATGTATCGTCACGAGTTGCAGTGTTTAATTTGGTTTTGTCTGTGTATGTTTTTTTTTTACTTTCAAAGCCGTGGAGCCCATTGACTGTCATTATATCACTGACAGACTGTAACGGTTTGAGTTAAAAATCTTCGTTTGTGTTCTACTGAAGAAACAAATGGCGCTTTTCCACTGCATGGTTGAACATGGTACGGTTTTTCACTGGGTACAGTATCTGGTACCTGGTACTTTTTTTAGTACCACCTCAGTTGAGGTTCCAAGTGAACCGTACCGTTACCAGCAGATAAACATCAAATTTTCGTTTTTGGGTGAACTATCCCTTTAATGCAACCTGGAGGCACTTGCTGTTGAGGGGTGATGTGGTGTTCATCGTAATTTTTATGCACCTTTACCCACTTTTCTGGGGTTAATCAACACTCGTGACCTAATGTAACCCCTAAACTTTTCAAATCCGGTGGATCAGAGGTAAAAAATGATATAAATACTGTTCAGTTTCTTGCACAGACCGATCGTTTCGTGTCTTAAGACCTCAATGTATCGTCACGAGTTGCAGTGTTTAATTTGGTTTTGTCTGTGTATGTTTTTTTTTTACTTTCAAAGCCGTGGAGCCCATTGACTGTCATTATATCACTGACAGACTGTAACGGTTTGAGTTAAAAATCTTCGTTTGTGTTCTACTGAAGAAACAAATGGCGCTTTTCCACTGCATGGTTGAACATGGTACGGTTTTTCACTGGGTACAGTATCTGGTACCTGGTACTTTTTTTAGTACCACCTCAGTTGAGGTTCCAAGTGAACCGTACCGTTACCAGCAGATAAACATCAAATTTTCGTTTCAAATCATCCCTTGGTGGAGACTGAAAGGCTGTAGGTTTGAATCCTGCATGGGTTGATCTGAGAGTAGATTGGATTCACATTGTCTATATTTATTTTTAGTTTAAACAATGAAACGGTTAGCACAGCTGAAGAGTGCTACACATTTGAATTAACTTCTTTATTTTTAATTTTCTTCAAGAAAATGAAGCCTAGTTTTTTTTAGGACCGTCAGATTTTTTTTAAATCAAGCTTTATTTACAACAACCGTTCCAGTTCCCTGGAAATCTGCAGATCTTTCATAAGCTCGATCAAGATGCTCCACCTCGGGTTGTTCCATGAGAATTGTCTAACCATCTGACTAGTTACTAGAAGCTAGATATCTTGAAATCGAGTGACAGGTCCACACAGACTTTGTGTTCACAAAAAGATCAGATTTTCACCGAATCGAAATGCCTGACATTCATAAAATTCTGCACATGCCCCAACAATACTATGTTTTTTGGATAAATGCATACCCAGGTCCGTTTAACACATTTTACCATGATTAAATGCATTCCTTAATGACCACAGATGAAATGTTGGTTTACAAAAGGTTAAGCTTTATATTTGACCTGACCTATGACTCATAACTAGAACAATAGTCTGAAGAACGATGATGCATCTCATCCTGAAAGCCGCTGTGTCATAATCAAGAGCTGTTTGACTTTGTTTGAAATCTTGAGCTTTTCTTCCTAAAGTCCATTCAGGTCTCTGAAAGAAACAGTAGAGAAAGGATCTGCTCTGAGTGAGGGAGTGTGGTGTATTAGTACTAGTAGCCACTCATCCAGCATCCGTTATCCACTCTCATTAGCCAGGGGGAAGTTTGGAAGATGTCTGGACAAGCTCATGCCGTATCAAGCCGAGTCTTGCTGTTATTAGAGATCTAAGACTTGCCTACAAATCCAACAAGAGAGACTCAAAGCTTTGGCTCTAATGGATTTTGGATGAAAATGTGTGTGAAATTTTATATGATTTCACTCACATTCATCTGACCCTTACAAAACGTTGGTGGTACCATATAAGATGGTAATACTGTGGTACTTTGATATACCCTATACCAGTCAAACGTTTGGACATGTGAATGTATTTGCTTCTCATGATCCTATAAAGTCTAAAGCCATAAATGCTTAAAATTAATTTTGTAGAGTAATATAAATTGTGATTCTGTATGAATATCTTTACTAAACCTTTTGAACATTTTCATTTTATTTTATTTGATTTATTTTTTAATTTTTTTAAATTAATTGATTAATTAATGAATGAATTATTTTATTTTATTTTATTTGCTTTTTGTTCAATTGTTTACAATACTTAAATCAAAAAGAAAAGATAAAACCACAAGATAAACAAACAAACAAATCTCTGGCCTCTTTTTTTATATAATCATTTATTTTATTTTATTTAGTTTTAATTAACAATTTTGTTTCCCAAGCAATTGTGTCTTGTTTTAAGGATGTTAAGATATTTATACAGGAAGATAAAACAAATTCTTCAAAACGTGTTTTTCTTTCCCACTGTGACCAAAGTTTTTTTTATTTTATTTTATACAAATAATAACTTTTAAAAATGAGTATTTATATCTAGAATTGACTGACACTGATTACAATGGTAGTACATGATCACCGTAATCATGGTACTTTAAAGGTACATTGTAATGCTATGGTAGCATGCCTAAAAAAATATAGCAATACCATGGTACTATTGTGTAGTGGATCTTGGATGGAAAACCCTCTTTCTTCAGTTGCTTTCGTGACATTTAGACAGATTTCTCAATTCTCTTATGTAACTCCTGGTTTGGCTTGAAGCGCATGTTTGAGCTCAAAGTGAAGAATCCACTCATATTTTACTCCCCTTCGTTCTGCAGATGTCTCATGTTCAGCGAATGGAAAAAAAACGACTGGAAGCAAAAAAGATGATGATGGATCACTTCCAGTGAAGATTCAGGGTGCAGGTGTCGAACCCTTTGAGCTGCAGGTGAGTTTCCATCATAAGAGCGCTAGTCTTGGCGTGGTGTAACCTCACATTTACTAGTCCGGTTTGTGCTGATCAGCAATGCAAATTTTTTCAAATATATCTGTCAACAGAACATCAAAAGATGCAAAGCACATGTCATCCTTTAATGTTAAGATTGGGTCGTCTTCGCTGATAATGTTTTCTCTGCAGGTTCATGGATTCTGGCTGGTCCAGGATGCCATCATGACCGTTCTGGGCAGAGAGGAGGTGGCACCGCGCATGTCAATCGCTCTGGCCCTTTCAGGTGTGACCCTCGACCCCATGATGGAGCTCCAGGACGTCAAGGGCTTCAAAGCTGGAGTCGCTCTCCGTCTAGTGGAAGGTAAACTGCAAGACCTTCTATTTGTGCATTTCTAAAAGACCATATTATATTCAACATGGATATGTTTGGTGGGAAATCCAGATAAAACTATATGTGTTTGGAACGTGGCTGTTGGTTTGTAGCTGGTTGTCCGACCTGGCTGAGCTGGAAAACTATCATGGACCGTCTACCATGTTTCAGAAACCAGCTTGACCAATTTAAGCTGGTAAGAACAGCAAGTTTCAGGGTTTGGACAGCACAGTAAAAACTGGAAACGGCAGGGAATTATTATTATTATTATTTTTATTTTTATTTTTTTTCTCTGTCTGAAGAAGTCATTGAAATGCATAGAAACTTTGATGAATCATAAAATGTTATAGTGAATATATATTGTTATAATTATCTAAAACAATTTATTGGCTAGATATTGCTCAGATGTACAGTGCAACTTGTTCACAAGTCATATATATTATAAAATGTCTGATTTGTGTGTGAATCTATTTGAGTTTGAATCAGTTGAACTCTGTTGTTTCCGGTTCATGACAGTTAGGGTATGTCGAAAAACTCCCATCTCATTTTCTCCTCCAACTTCAAAATCGCCCTACATCACTGTTTTACCGTTTTTTTTGTAAAGGGCATTTGATCTTCTTTGCATGTTCACTTTGTAAACACTGGGTCGGTACTTCTGCAGCGATGGAGGACGATTTTGAAGTTGGAGGAGAAAATGAGATGGGAGTTTTTAGACCTACCCTAACTGTCATGAACTGGAAAAAACAGAGCGTTTGAGGTTTAAAAGTATATAAATTGTAAATTCTTTTAGAAAATGACCAATCGTTTCACTAGATAAGACCCCTCTTCCTCGGCTGGGATCATTTAGAGCCCTTTGAAGCTGCATTTAAACCGCATTTTGGAAGTTCAAACTCGGGGGCACCATAGAAGTCCATTATATGGAGAGAAATCCTGAAATGTTTTCCTCAAAAAACATAATTTCTTTACGACTGAAGAAAGAAAGACATGAACATCTTGGATGACAAGGGGGTGAGTACATTATCTGTACATTTTTGTTCTGGAAGTGAACTACTCCTTTAAGCGAGAATGACCAGCTGGTAACTGGTTTGTTGTGAGACCAAGGTGGTCTACCAACCTAGCCAGGTTGGGTTAGGGTTGAACTTGGTATAGCTTGAACTTCAACTTGGTACAGCTAGAAACCAACCACCGTGTTCCAAAATGCAGCAACATTAGTGATAATTTCCACAGGGATAAGTAGTGGGGGGGGGGGTTGCTCTACTGGTCTTGCAACTTCTTGATTTCATGCAAACCGTTTGATGGTAAAAAAAACTAATGAATCTTTTCTCTCTGCCAAGTGAGTCACATGGCACTCATTATGAGCAGTGTGGGAAAATAAATGATAGAATAGAAGATGTTATTGCTCACTGGATAAATCATAGTTTTACAAGATGAGACGCCTTAAAATTCAGCAGAGCAGTGGAGCTGGGGAAGAGGCCTGATTTTGGTATGATGAAGTGTTCTTGTGTGTGTTATAGAGCCGTACTCGCCTCGATCGGCACAGGCTCATCTGGCACGTGTGCAGGACATGCTGAAAGCTGTCAGGCCCCAAGACGCCCTGATGGAGGGCCGATCTCCCGCTGTATTGAACACACTCACCCAAACGTCAGGTAAGAAATACACTCTAGTACATTTACATTACTGTTGAGTTCTGTTGATATAATTATGTTGATCATTATATCAACTTAATATTGTGTGTAACTCAAATTTCTACATTATTATTATTATTAAATTTTTATTGTAGTAACTTAATGAACTTGAAACCTGACCAGTGGATTTCTAGTTCCCAGCATGCTTTGCATAGGATTAATATATTTATTTATACATTATTTATTTATTTACATATTTTTTTTCTTTTTAATATTTTTATTTTAGTTTAAGTTTTAATAATCATATTGTAACTTGCTTTTGTCGTTTGTCATATTTCTATTTAACTTTTAATTTGAGTAATTTTAGCACTAAACTGATTTAATTTAGTAGCCAATGCAACATTTCTATTTAAGGTTTTTAAATTTTTGTTTTTCGTCTATTATTTTATTTTATTTCAAATTTTATTATATTTCAATTACAGAAAAAAATGAGTAGTTTTACTCTGTTAACAGTAAAAACACTGATCCAGTATCTTGATAACTTTATTTTTTTATATTTTCAGTTTTCTTAATAACTTTGTGCTTTTGTCATCTGTCATATTTCTATTTAACTTTAATGTAAGCGTTGGTTTTAGTAATTTTAGTACTTTAAGTTTTGTCACTTAGGCAAGGCAACATTTCAAATTTTCATTTAGGGTTTTTAAGTTTTTCATCTAATATTTGTATTTTATTTCAGCTTTATTTAAATTACTGACAACTATTTTTCATAGTTTTAGTTAACAGTAACATCACTGTTCCAGTATCTTGATAACTTTGTCTTTGTGCACAAATGTTATCATAAAATACATCAAAGTGATTTTATTCAGTATTGCCTCTAAATAATTTAAAAAGCAATAATAATTTTTTAAGCCCATGGCAATGAGACTCTGATTGTGTGTTTTATGTGTGTACTAGAAGCCCCTCCCACTCTGCACTCATCAAAAAACAAACGAGCCAATAGTAAGACAGAGCAGTCTGGTGAAGCCCCGCCCCCTCCTGCCTGCATTCTGCCTGGAGCTTCTGAAATTCCTCCTTTGACGACCCTGCTACCCACCAACACACACAGTGAAGTATGTCAAACACACACAAATAAACTTTCAGGCATTTGCACTCTCAAACGGCTTCTCTTATAGGCTCCCAGTTACCTGCTGGACCTGTCACTCAGCTGTTGGAACCCTCCCCCTGGTTTCCGGAAGCTGCAAGGTGACTTCATGTACATCAGTGTCCGCACCCTGGAGGGCAAGCATTGTGACATCACTTCCTGCCCACGTGGATTTTACGTGAACAGGTAAGACTCTCTGTATTGCTAAATTCAGAACAACTCACTCCCATACTATTGCTATTTCTGCCTTTTTTCCAGTGTGACAGTCTCACTATTTAAAATGCACAAAACTTAATCAAAACTTACAACGTACACAAAACTGGAATAAAAAAAGCAAAATAACCATTAATTTTCAAGATTAATTAATTTATTAACCATTCATTTTCAAGAAAATGTAGCTTACTACTGTCTAAAATGTTGATCATTGCATTTTGCATACAGTTTCATATACTATTTCTTAAATATAGTAGACATTACACAATATATACTAGATTTTGCATAAAGAAAATTAAGTCTAATTTAAACACACACACACACACACTCACATATACAGTATATATACATATATTTGATGTCAATGATGTACTTCGTTTGTGGTGATTAATTTAAAAATGTATTTAAATATATTTCAAATACAATTGTATTGCAGTATGTTTTTTTACTTTGTTGCATTTAAATTTTTGTTAATGTACTGTATTGCAGTTAAGAGAATGAAAAAAAGGAAATAAAAAAGGAAAACATCTGGATACATTACAGTAATGATCATTTTTGGTTGCATATTGTTTGTACAAAATAATATTATTCTTATTTTTTTCTTTTCATTTTACTTCACATATTGGGCTGTTTTCATGAGATTCACCCAATAATGTAATTTTTGGAGTAACAGACTGTTTGTGGCATATTAGATTCACAGAATGAAAGAGATTTTTTTCAAAAACCAAGCTGTATTTTTGTGTTTCAGGTCGACCCTCGAAGTGTTTGACCCTCGTCCTGCTCAGTCGACTCCAGTGTGCCACTGTCTGACCGACCTGCTGTCCCACATCAGCCCACAGTTCAAATACAACCTGAGCACACTGCGGCACAGGTGACCCTCACACACACACACACACACACACACACACTCTCATCTCTCTCAGTATAGTTCATTGAGCGTCTCTGTCCATTCAGGCCGTCTCTGCCGGCTGAGGAGATGCTGTCCACTCCGTACCGCACAGTCAGCTGGCTGGGCATCTCCTCACTTCACTCGCACAAACCCAGCTTCAGCGGCCGGCTGGGTCTGGACCAGGACCTCAGTGCGCAGGTACACACCTGTCCCGCACTCACCTGTTTCAGTGCTCAAACACAATGATCTTTATTGACATGACTCTGTGACATATATAATTGCAATGAAGCGTATAAATGCATCAATATCAGCAGTAAAAAAAAAAACTGTAGTAATGAAAATAAACTAAAATAATATTATTTAATATTAATTTAATGTAAATATTAATAAAAAAATCTATCAATATTAATATATATATATATATATATATAATCAATATCAATGTTACTATTTAAATAAATAAATAAAATAATTAAGTAAATTATATTAACATCGACAATTTTACTGTATTACAGTTATGAAAATCACTATTAAGAAAAAAACTTAAAAGTAAAACCTATGAATGCATTACTGTAATGAGAATTTTTGTGGGAAAATGTGCATAATGTCACAATGCAAAGAAAACAAATCCTAAGGTTTCAGAAGGAGTGAAGTATTGGATTGTTTTCATGAGATTCACTCATTTAATTAATGAAAATAATATAATATAAAATGAAATAAATAAAATATATTTTTAAATATTTATAAAAAAAAGCTAATATTACTTAATATTCAATATTTTAATTTTAATATTTACAAAAATAAAATAAGCAAGTAAGTTATATTAACATCAGCAAGATATCTGATATGCTTATAATCACATAATATGAAATGCAACAATTTCTAATTGTTCTATTTTGGATAGAGAAGCATTTGATAAGGGTAAAAGGGTTTTCCAAAAAAAATTTTTCTCTTTTGTCTTGGTATTTGTCACAGTGAAGGAGATGTTTCTCACAGATTCTGTCTCTGGACCTGTCTGTTCTCCTCTGCATGTGCTTTTGTCCACCTGACTGTGTGTGTGTCATTCACATGTTCTGTTTTGTGTTTTAGGCTCCTGACTGGAATAAGGAACTTCAAACAGCCAGAGATCTTCCTCAGAGGAGTCTGGAGGAGAGACTTCAGAGGGACCGAGCGTTACTGCAGGTCTGAGGCTGAGCACACATTTGCCTAGAGATCCACAGACTTCTGCTGTTTCCATATAAAGTTTATTATTACTACTACAGACTAAACTGAACTCTTACCCTTCCGCAGGTGAACAGCGCTTTTGTGTGGGCTGTTGCTCAGGCAGCAGAGAAGGTGATCGATGGCTTTGTCGACTCAATCAGCGGTTCTCACGGGGACCCGGCGTTCTTGTGCGGCGGCGTGTTCATGAGTATGCCGGCACACGGAGACCAACTGCTGGGAGGAGAACGGAGTCACAGAGCTGCTCAACGTCTTGAGCTGAGATGTGTTCAGGCTTACAGCGACCTGGACGGAGACCTCCAAAACCTGCACACCATCCCCACTGCACTGGCTGACTACCGCGGCGTTCGGCTGTCTGCGCAGGGCCTGGCCCCGGGTATTCAGGGCCCCGAGCAGGCTGAGGTTCCCAGTGGCCTTTTATACGGCTACAGTGCAGGGCCGCTGGAAAATCCATCGAGACGGAAACTCCTAGAGCTGCTGGCTCAGTCCGCAAAGGCTCTTTCTCTGCAAAGACATGCGGTTTTGGGGCCGACCGGGCATCAGCTGCCCCTCTTCACCTCTGTAGATGCCCAGGGGATTCTGGGGGCCGATGGTCGGTATTACCTGCTGGATGTGTATCGTACTATGCCTGCTGATGCCAACTTCCTGGTAGAAGATGGAGAAGAAGGAGCAGAAACGGAAGGGAGTTTTCCCCGACGGTACCCTCACGTTTTGTGTCGATTACGGCCGGAGCTAGTGAAGGCGTTCATTCAACACAAGTGAGTATTGACAGGTTTCCCCAAGTGCTTACATTGGTTGATCAAACAGATAGCCCCGCCCCCAAATTCTAGTTACTGTTGCGAACTCGGACAAATAAACAGAGTTGCTAACTGTCTTACAGTGACAGCTGTCAGTGTGAAAACCTTGTCCCTATATCTTTTTGATACATTTTGGACACAGAAGGACCACCATTCAAGTGGGACTTAAATATGCCATGGAGAGATATATAAAAGATTTTAAAATAACTATTGTGGGTATTAATTTGGAAGCGAGGGTTTACGGATCACAATGCAAGCGGGAAAAGTCTCATGTTACGTTCGTCACGATCGCGGATGACAACATCCCGGATCAACACTGTTCATGTATCGCAGGGTACAATTAAATTAATTTACATTTAACCAGTTTAATATGAAGAGACAGTGAAATGTTCGATGTGTGTTTTTGCCCTACATGTGAGAACAGTCCGCTATTTAGGATTGTACACTAGCATGGACTCACTAACTTTAACGTTAGCTAGTTTTAGCCAGAGATACCTTACTGAAGCACAAGATGACATTAACGTTCTGCTTGAGCAGAAAATTAACGTTTTTATCTTCATTGGGATTGGAGGTGAATGCTTAGGGACATTTTGCTCCATTTTGTTTGGGTTTAGGAAATAGAATAAAATAAATTCCAATTGCCCATCCTCTCCGGATACCTGGAATCAGTGTTGCAAGCATTTTTGAAGCATAAACCCCATAAAAACGATGCGAGCTTCGGATCTTCCAATGTTTCTCTATGGTGCTGAAAACTAAAGATGTCCGAGTATCGCTCCTGTGCAACTGATACTCGACTGCTATTGGCTCATCTGCATTCGAGGGGAGGGGCTTACCGATAGGTCAATTGGTTGAGCTTCGTTTGTCGGAATGCTACAACAAAATATTTAGTGTCTTTCTAGCAGTGTTGTTATTGTTAACTAAAACAATTTTTGTTGTTGTTGATTGACATAAAACTGAAATAAAATATTTTTGAAGCACTAAAATTACTAACTGGAAATAAATGAAAACTTAAAGTAAACTAAAACTGAAATAAAAAGAAACTAAACCTGAATAATAATATTCAAAATAGACAAAAACTAATAAAAATAACCAAATTACTAAACAATTTAGTCAAATTTAAATTTAAAACAAAGTATAAAAATAAAAGCTATAAATATAAACTATTTTGTATATAAATGATATTAAAATAACACTGTTTTCTACTTTGACAAAGAATCAGTTTTCATGTTGCTCAAAGTCAATATTTAGGAAAATTATTTGTATATTAGCTGCAGCATACACATTCAGCACAGGCCAGTTTTGACAGGTATCTCAAGTCTTTCCATTGGTCGATTAAACTGATTTAATTCACACCATTGGTTGAGCCATTGTTGCTTTGTGGAGGTGTTCAAACTAAATATTATTACAAAAAAAATTATTTGTACGTAAATTGCAGCAGTGCATAATGCATCGTGTCATGAGCAAGCAACAATTATTAATGCATGAATCAAACACACAGAAAGCCATTTTTTTCCCCCACACAATCTCATTATGTATATGTAAAATTTTGCATATTAAACTGGGATACAAGAAAGTATTTCATTTACTTAGACACTTTAATTTAAAATCTACAAACCAGAGATTTTATGTTTGCTTATGTCTTGATGTTTCAGACATGCTGAGTTCTCACAGCGAGTGAAGGCTCACATGGAGGAGAACGGAGGGGTGGAAGAGTGTATGAAATCTGGTGAGAAGTGTTCATTTTCTGTCATGGGATGCTGGACTGTGTGTCTGAGATGAATTTGTTTAACAGGAATAATCCTATGTGTTTATTTGTGTGTTGTCAGCTGATTCTCCGAACATAGACGCAGTCAGAAAAGCTTGCAAAGATGTCGGATCCGTCAGTGGCATAATCTTTGAGATGCGTTTCAACCCTAATGTCTACTCCCCAGGTCAGGAAAAGCTCATTCTCACAAAACAAAAAAACCCAAAGCACTTCAAGATCCATTAAAGCAAACTACATATAAGGTCCGTTCCAAACCCTAGTAAGTTTCCCGAGTGAGGCAATATTTAGTGAAACTGAACCTAGTAAGTGACTCATTTTGAAGCACATGGGAGACTTGAAATGTTTCTATGCTAATGACTCGAACACATATAATACTGAGTTAAATGGGATTTGACTATTTTTTATACTTATCTGTCATAATGCATACTGGGATTGACTTTTCTATGTAGCATATATTGATTTAAGATGTTGCCTTAGCCATTAGGCTAAAAAGCCAACGTAATATTCCTGCCTACACTCTTAAAAATAAAGGTGCTTCACGATGCCATAGAAGAACCTTTTTGTCTAAATGGTTCCATAAAGAACCTTTAACATCTGAAGAACCTTTCTGTTTCACAAAAGCTTCTTTGTGGCGAAATAAGGTTCTTCAGATTACAAAAACACAAGAAAGAGATGGTTCTTTAAAGAACCTTTGACTGAATGGTTCTTTGTGGAACCAAAAATGGTTCTTCTATGGCATCGCTTGAAGAACCTTTTGAAGCACCTTTATTTTTAAGAGTGTACCTTTTGAAACAGCCTTGACATCACAAGCCATCGTTAGATTTTGGAGCAGAACTGATATCATCACATCCATCTTCAACAGAAATCATTACGTTTAGCTTCTTTACAGCCAAACTTGAGAATTTCCATAATTAGAGATTTTGTTCGAGACCTTAAATATTGTTTTCTGTCTCTTCGGGTAGGTGTGGAGTTTCCCAGCTCAGACAGTGACGCCGTGGAGCTGCAGAAGAGATTATTGAAGGAAGCAGCAGCTTTTATCATAAACGACCGGATACCGGAATTTGTGAGTGTATTTTGTGTTTTTATCCACTACTGGTCAAACGTTTGGGCTCAGTACGATTTTTTTATAAACTTGGAAGGATGCATTAAATTGATCAAAAGTGACTGTGTAAAGTTATGACATTTATACTCTTACAAAAGATTACTATTTCAAATTAATACCGTTCTTTTGAAACATCTATTCATCAAACAATCCTAAAAAATGTATCACGGTTTCCATAAAAATATGAAGCAGCACAACTGTTTTCAACATTGATAATAATCAGAAATGTCTCTTGAGCAGCAATTTTGATCAAACAAATGTGTACTTTCAGATGAACGACTGCATTCATGGCGCTGACATACCAATGGATGGTGCTTCTTTACGACAAGCCCTCCATCAGAAAGGCATAAACCTGCGGTATCTTGGTCACCTGATCTTGTCCATCAGCCAATCAGATCGCAAACATCAACTGAGACACATCACGGTGAGAACATGATTTTAAAATCCATTATATTGGGGGAGATTTTAAGTTTAAGAAGCATTCTAATCATATCTCACTGTCTCAGAGGTTGGCGTTTGCAGAGATTGTAGTGCGCTGTGCACAACGCTTCTTCAGTGGCTACGTTCAGGTATTTCTTTTCACGTAGTTAATCTGTAAAGATATTATTTTTTAAAGGGATTGTTCTTTCAAAAAAATTTAATTGTGTCTCGTGTCGTTCAGGGAGTGGAAACATCTAACCTGTCAGCAGCAGCGAGTCATTTCCTCTGCTGCTTATTGGTTCCCCACTTCAGTTCCGCGTCGAATGGGGAGGAGTCTAAGAAGCGCTCCAGGAGGCGGGGCCGTGGAGGGGGCGGGGCTGCCGACAGCACGGCATGGACCGCACTCAGTGGGAATGAACTGTGGAGTCTGATCTGTCAGGATGCTCAAGAAACATACAGACTTAAAGAAGGACTAGGGTGAGCCAAGATCATCCATTTCAAATACTGTAACCCTCAAGTGTGTCCAGTACACCCTGCGGCTTCATAAAGTAATATTTTTTACAGGTCAAATGTGGATCATCTAGTAGAGCAGTACGGACTCCAGAAGATATCCTTGTTGAGAGAGATGTGCTTGAAGACTGGCATTCAGGTATTGCGTTGAATTAAACAATGGCTAAACTTTAAAAAACATTCTAGAATATTACTATTTCTGCAATCTGGTTTGTCTTGATGGCATGCAGTAACTTTGCATAGGGTATGCTCGGCTAGCAGGTTAATTTAACGGTAAAATAATTAGAGAAACAGAGCAAGACGTATGCAATTTGTAGCTTTTAACTAATGACTATTTAAAATTGACTGAAACTAGTTTTGGTAATAGTTTTGGTATTTTCATTTTTTATTTTATTAATTTTTTATTGCCAAGGTGTCATGAAAAAAAACTATTTAGCAACAAAGAACAAATGTACAGACTTATTTTAGTACATATAACTAGGAATGAAAAGCAACAATTCTAAAAAAAAAAAAAAAACGATGAAATAAGTAATAATACATCTCAGCTAAATATATTGCATCACAAAATACATTGAAAAAGCTTGTTTGATCAGGAGTCAGTAAGATTTATTTTTAAAGAAATTAATACTTTTCATTCAAGATTCAATAAATTGATCAAAAGTGACAGTTAAGACATTTAAAAATTATTTCTGTTTCAAATAAATATTTTTCAATTTTCTGTTCATCAAAGAATCCTGAAAGATTTAATGTATCACGGTTTCCACAAAAAAAGCACAACTGTTTTCAACACCGAAAATAATCAGAAATGTTTCTCGAGCAGCAAATCAGCATATTAGAATGATTTCTGAAGAATCATGTGACACTGAAGACTGGAGTAATGATGCTGAAAATTCAGCTTTGATCACAGAAATAAATTACATTTTAAAATATATTCAGATGGAACAGAGTTGTTTTAAATAGCAAAAATATTTTGCAATATTTACTGTATTTTTGATCAAATAAATGCAGCTTTGGTGAGGTCAGACTTCCCTTGATAGCATTTGTGAGGATCTTTGTTGATATCTTGTCGGGGGTTTGTGCTGTGACTTTCTTTTGTCATAGTCATAGAGAAAGCATTCTCATCAGCGTGTCTGTGAATGTCCCACAGCTCCGTCTCAGAGAATACATTCTTGACACCCGTAACAAAGCGCCCATCTCTCCTGACGACGTGCTCAACATCCTGCCCGTCGTCAAGCACATAACCATGACAACCACCGACGCCACACGGATGTTCACGGCGGCTCAGAAAAGTCTTCAGAAAGGTATTCATGACCCAGTGTGCAGTAACTGAGTCATGTGTGAACAGCCTCGCCTGACCATGTTTTCACCGTAGGGTTACTGGAGCAGGCGTACGAGCAGCTGAAAGAAGCGACATACCTCTTCGGTCGTGTGTGTGATGACCTTCACCCTGAAGCCTGCCATTGTCTCAGTCTGCTGGCCAAAGTGGCCTATGTACAGGGCCATCCTGCTGAGGTGTGTTTGTGTGTGCTGTCTAGGGTGTGTCCTGATGCCCGGTGGCTTTTTCAACATTTTTAATGTCATTAAAGATCAAAATGACTTTGAACAAATGTTCTGTTACCGTTACTGGAAGAACATGTGTTCAACATTCCAGAATGTTAGTTTGTTATCCGCTCAATGTCTCTCTCGTCTCCTGTAGGCTCGTAGCGTGCAGCTGAGGGTCGTGGTCATCAGCGAAAGGGTTCTGGGTTTCGATCATCCCAACACCATTCAGCAATACGTGAGTCACGCTCTCACTAAACCAAACAGACCTACTTTTTTAAAATGCACAGAGATCATCATTATCTGATGCAATTACTTCTTTTGTTCCAGGTGTCTTTGGCAGTGTATCTGTTAGCTGGAGGCGAAACCGCTCTGGCGCAACGCTGCCTGTATCGTGCCAAAGTTCTTCTGCTGGCGGTTCACGGAGCAGATCATCCTTACACTGCAGTCATTGATGTAAACATCATCAAACATTATCAAGTTATCACTGATCCCAAATAGAAATACTGGTTTGAATGATAATGTTTTTCTCTTTTTCTCCCTCAGGCTTCTCTGGGATTGGTTCTTCAGGGAGAGCAGGCATTACAGTATCTACAGAGTGCACTGAAACTCATCAGCTCCTTCAGGGGAGACGCAGACCTGACGACAGCTCTGATGTAAGCCAAGATGCTATAATCATAAAAAGAAAATAGAGGGAGCTGTATAGTAATCATACAATAACCTGCTCGGATGCCACAAGCACTAAGGCTCTGTTGCAAAACACTAGTAAGCTGCCTATATAGACGACTTCTAATCATCATAGAAGCACACTCAACATCCACTTCCAAAATGATACAACGTTCTAAGATAGCATATTTTGGTCAAAATAAAATGCAGGATCGCATATATCCTTCACGCATAAGACAATTCCATAATGCACTGCAAAAAAAAACACATCCAAAATGGTGAATAAGTTTAAGGAATTGTAAAATTACTGAAAAAAAATGTTGTGCCATCTATTTAGAAATGGCCTTTTTAAATGTGATATTCGTGCACCGTGTGGTCTTTTTTTTTTCATGACATAATATTATTGCCCCAACCAATTACACACAGTAAAACCATAAAATACTCAAAAATACTACTACCAACAATAGAAAATTAATAAAAAGATACAAATAAAGTAAAAAATAAAACACACTTCAATCAAATAAAATAAGAACTGAAAAATATAAAAAAAAACACAAATACATCATTTAAAAATAATAAATAAAATTTTTTTTAATAAAAAATTAAAGTTGCCGCTCATGAAGAGCGTATTAGTTTAGTCACTTATAAGTTTTCAATTTTGGTTACTTTAAAGGTGGCTGGGTAATTTGACACTGAGGCAGCTCATTAGGGTTTGGATCAGAGCCAAAGTAATCAAACTCATTTAAACGTATAATTATGTTACCTGTCTGTTAACTTTGCTAGAGGTGGTTTTTGATTGTTTGGCAGGCACCATCTGCTGGCGCAGAGACTGTGTGTGGCTGGAGACTACAGAGGAGGCATGCATCATGAAAAGGAAGCTCACAGCATCTTCCAGAGCAAGGTCAGATTTCGTATTCGTGGGTTGAATTTTTGCCTTGAATAAATGATAATGTTCTGAGCGTGTTTATGTGGTGCAACAGTACGGAGAAGATCATCCTCAAACCAAATGCAGCTCTGATTTCCTGAGGAACATTACCCAGCAGGCTGTGCGTGTAGAACGGTCAATTCGTCAGGGAGGCACGGAGCTTTGTGATACTCCGCCTGAGGTAAGCACAGCTTGAAACCGTTGTCTAATAGAGCCCACATGCGAAGACTTGCAGGTTTTTGTTAAACATGAGCTGTGTGTCAGGGTTTGGTTCCCTCTCAGGACACCACGCTGGAGCAGCTCGCTCTGGTCAATGGCATACTGAAGACTTCATACAGGTAAGAGACTTTCAGGATTTTACTTTTTTGAAATTCAGAAACATGTTACCTTACAAAAATCAACAAATAGAGAAACATCACCTAAATTAAACAAATAAATAATAATAATTAAACAAAAATTCTGTATAAAAAATTCCTATATAAAAAGTATTTTACCTATATATATATATATATATAAACTTTTCATATACATGTATTGTTTGTTTGTTTATATAGTTATTTATACATAAACTCAAGTATTTATAAAGTATTATAATGTTTGAAAATGGCACAATGCAATATCTGAATACTTTCCGTACCCACTGTATATATATATATATATATATGTACATGCACACAAATTTTTTGTATTTCTCATTACTTTCATAATTTTTTATTAGATTCTCATAAATGCAGTGTTTTTATTTAAATAAGCATAAATTTATTATTTCTGCATTATCGTAATCATAATTTGGAATGGAATATGTTTTTAAAAAAAAATTATATTCAAATAAAATTGTTGCTTGTTAGCGGGTGTTACTACTATTATTACTTGCTATAATTACATTTTGAAAGAGTTCATAAGGCAAAACAAAAAGTAAATAACAACAAAAAAAACTTCTGGGGAGGCGTCAATTTTGTGAATGATTTGCATTTAATTTCTGCAGAATTCTAGCTTCTGATTCTGTATATGGTGCATTTGTAGTTTATGGAAACTGAAAGCTGAATAAATCACTGTTGTTTCTGCTTAAGCACAAGAATGATGGAGTTCAAAGAGAAGTTGAAAGAGATGAAAGCAGCAGAAGAGGCTGAAAAGGCTAAACTGGAGAACTCTGAATCCACCAATAAGAATGAAGCTTCAGAGCTGCAGAGCAGTAATGGAGAGGTTACTGAGGAGGCCACAGCGAATGGGGAACAGACGCAAGAGGCCACAGACGCAAATGCAGAAAGTCCGTCAGCGGAAACCAATGCTTGTGAGAAATCAGACCACTCAAACATGAATGGCCAGATCGAGTCCCATCTGCATAACGGCAATTGTGCCACAAAAAACGAAAGTGAGGAGGAGGAACAACAATCAAACACCACTAACGGTGTCTCCACTGAGAGCCAATCAAAATCAAGTAATGTTTTGATGTCAGTAAATGAAGCACAGTCAGAATCAGCAGTGGTGAACGGGAAAGAGTGTGTTGTGAAGGATGATTCTGAGAAACAGGTCGAGACCGAGTGAGATATGAGGAGATAGATCCAGTGTTTGACACATGACTGTACAACCATATCAAATCAGTGCCTTCACTAATAGCACGAGAGAGAAGATGAAGCCAACTGACAATCAAAGTTCTGAAGTCATTAAAATGTTTGACTAAATAAACTCTCATTTCTGTGAGTGAACATTGGTTATGCAACTGTCATAATTTTGTAGTTTCTTTTTTTTTTTGGCAGAATTCCATTAAAAAAATATATAAAATTGTGATATGAACGGACTTTTTTCTCCTAATTCTGAGTTTACTTTTTTTTTTTTTTGCTTTCCGCCACAGAATTAAAAATAAAAATGGTAATTGCGACTTTTTAATCTCACAATTCTGGCTTTTTTTCTTGCAATTGAAAGTTTATAACTCAAAATTTTGAATTAACATCTCATAACTCTGCGTTTAAAAGGATAGTTCACCCAAAAATGAAAATTTGATCTTTATCTGCTTACCCCCAGGGCATCCAAGATGTAGGTGACTTTGTTTCTTCAGTAGACCACAAACGAAGATTTTTAAGTCCAGCCGTTGCAGTCTGTCAGTCATATAATGCATGGCAACAGTAACAAAATCTATGAGAGTAAAAAAAAACATGCACAGACAAATCCAAATTAAACCCTGTGGCTCGTGACGACACATTGATGTCCTAAGACACGAAACAATTGGTTTGTGCGAGAAACCGAACAGTATTTATATAATTTTTTACCTCTAATACACCACTATGTCCAACTGCCTTGAGCGTGCGCATGGCATCCGGTACGTGAGGTGTGTACACGCTCTGGCGTAGCAAGCGCCGGAAGTGATTTCTCGCACGTACATGTCACTCAGTTTACACAGTGCACAAACATTGTAGGTACGACGGCTAATCAAAATGGTACTTACTTGCGCTTTTCCGGATTGTTAAATCCAACTCATTTGTTCATATGCACCCCTGTAATCGTTGCAATAACATTACAAATACAACACATTACTCACTCTATTGACAGCGTGCCATTGGGTCTCTCTGGCCTTGGACGTTGCCTCCAGTTTATACGTGGCAAGCTAAACACAATGTGCAAAACGCTGCGGCTCAACAGCGGAGAAAAGTCTGGATCTTCAGTCAGGCAGGTGTGTGATGGGGCACCCTCGGCAATGTCCTCGTTGGCGTCTTGTAGTTGTGGCATTGCTATGTTCCATTCGTGACAACAGATGCTCTCCACTTCTGTTGGCATCTCACAACACTTACTACAAGAACACCACCACTTTTGAAGAGATCTCTGTCTCTCTGAGGCTTGAAGACGTGCTGCTGCAGCAGATGCTTCCTCCATCTCTCTGAGTTCTTGATCTGAGTATTCTGGTTCAAATAAATACGGTTGGGCAAAAAAATCCACGTGGTCTGTTGATATATAAAAATTGTCTTTCATTGTGATGACCTGTACGTCTAAATATCTTTAGATCTTCACAGTGGCAGGGAACACTTCCGCAATGTTTGTGCACTGTGTAAACAATGAGTGACGTATACGTGCGAGAGATCACTTCCGGCGCTTACGTAAACTACGCCAGAGCGCGTACACACCTCACGTATCAGATGCCGTGCGTGCGCTCAAAGCAGTTGGACATAGTGGTGTACTAGAGGTAAAAAAATTATATAAATACTGTTCGTTTTCTCGCACAAACCGATCGTTTCGTGTCTTAGGACATCAATGTGTCGTCACGAGCCACAGGGTTTAATTTGGATTTGTCTGTGCATGTTTTTTTTACTCTCATAGATTTTGTTACCGTTGCCATGCATTATACGACTGACAGACTGCAACAGTTGGAGTTAAAAATCATAATTTGTGTTCTACTGAAGAAACAAAGTCACCTACATCTTGGATACCCTGCAGGGGGTAAGCAGATAAACATCACATTTTCATTTTTGGGTGAACTATCCCTTTAAATCTTAGTTACCTTTTTTTTTTTTAAATCCTGTGGCAGAAATGGGCTTCCATACTTTCCAATTGTACAAAAAAAACAAACCACAACCTTTAAGTCCCAAGAAAACAAGACTCTTATTTTAAAAAAAAAAGACTAAAAACAGTATTTTTATTCTATGAATAATAAAAAACATATACACACAAGAAACTGGAAATAAACAAATGTTGTCGCATGTTTAAAGCAGTGACATTTTTCAGCTCTTTGTCTCTCTCTGGATGATCTCCAGATCTTGGCAGTGTTGGTACAGTGGCTCTGAAGGCTCAATCCACATGCATTCTGGGAGTTTGTTCAGATTTTCCGGAGGGAACTGAATGAGCGCTGTGTCATTGAACACATCCAGGAATCGCGGTGAGCAGGGCAGAGACGTCTCGTCACACACACTTATCACCTAAAACAGTACTTAGTCAAGGCCTGCGAGTTCTTATGGAGGAAAAATGTAAACCTGTGAGAATCTAAAGCTCGCATTTACAATGCAACACCTATGTGGTCAACCTCTGTGACATTAATAAGATAATCAACAAGAAAATAAATGCAATTTTATCATACATGCTGATGTAATTGCATAATTTGAGGATTTATACGTCATATCAGGTATTTTTCTGCATTTGTCATATTGAAATTCTTTATAAACATGCATGAATTGTAAAGGTGTAATGTAAGATAAAAGTCAAGGATACATTTGAAAGGAAGCTGTAGTCTCTATCAAACTCTCTCTGAAGCATCCTAGGAAAACAATTAAACAGACATCATGAATAAGACTCAATTGCTACACAATTTTGCCTTTTTCATTTTCAATTTTGCCTGAAATAATGTCTATATAGTTTTTATTCATTTATTTCAATGTTGAAATGTTATTTTTTTAATCAATAGTGTGTTGTATAACACCAGACACCCACCTCTCTTGAATGCCATGAAAACTGTTGCCAATTATAATCATTTTTGGCAACGTCCGAGGCGTCCAGTTTCTCCACAGCAGGTTGTTATACAGAGCCTTCCCACAATGCATCAGGTAAAACAGGGTGGGTTGATAAACCGCTCGTTTCCCCTCCTGTTAGGAACATACTGCTTGAAAACTGACAGCAAAACCTGTGTCTTTTCATGTCAGTAGATGTGTGATGTCTGCACCTCATTTTCAGTCAACACAGTGAAGCCTAGCTCCTTGAGGGCATCACACTCGGACGCAGAAAACACAGGATCATACACACAACAACTGCCCACTGGAATCTGAGGAAACAGAGAACATCTGTATGTTTAACTGACAAATCCTTTCATAGAAATCATACGAATGAAACGCATATACCTGGAGTGTCTCTAGAAGCAGTAACAACATTGCAAGCTGGTATCGGGCAGATACACAGGAAGCAAAGTGACCCAAACCGTAACACACACAACAGAGCTGAAGAGAAACATCTCCATTCTGCTCTGAGGAACCAGAAGCGTTGGAAAGAAGACGCTCAGACAGGAGATCTGGAGGTGGAGATGGAGATGGGGTCGTTACAAATTGTATTTTCACATTTATAGACAGTACAGCTGTAATTCAACATCACCTTTCCACTCCATCCAGAAGCTTTCCCCTCTCAGTTCATTCCTGTGAAGGTAAAGAACATTTCAGAGAGCTCACAGACAACAAGAACAGCACAATCCTTAACCTAATTCATGCACTTTCCTATTTACACAAGACTCCGGGCTATTTAAAAGAACACCATTGCGTTATGATGATGTACAGTGTCACTCATGTAATAACTGATAGTGGCAGATAAACCCTCACATGGCGTTTAATATCTTCTGCTTGTCCGGTTTGCAGTCAGCCACCTGGTGTGAGTCTAGTTTGGGGGTTGAAGCTTGTTTTCCTCTTCTAGCCGCTCGGCGCCCTGCTAGCTGCCAGTCATCATTACAAGCCATTACAGCAAAAACCTCTTTCCAATAAGACAGTTTGCAGTCTGACAGCTCGAAATGCGCTATCGAACTAAGCGAGGATCGATCAACTTCCATGTATACACATTTTGTATGTTTATAGGTCTAAATGTCTCCATGATACACTTTTAGCACTTAGGATTTTCATATTTACATCCACAGTGTTTCTGTGTTACGCTTTAATCGTTCCGATCGCCCGCTGCTCTAAATATATTCAGTTCCTATGCGTATTAACGCACTAAGACAGACTGATAAATAACTTTTTATTTGTATTGATTTTTTTTTTATCGAGAGGTGCGTATATGTTTATATACTAATTGTTACGTTAATATTCTTCTGAAATACAAATTTTACAAATGCGATTTAGTAATCGTGCTTAGCGTACTGTTAGTAGCCATTACAGCAAAAACCTCTTTCCAATAAGACAGTTTGCAGTCTGACAGCTCGAAATGCGCTATCGAACTAAGCGAGGATCGATCAACTTCCATGTATACACATTTTGTATGTTTATAGGTCTAAATGTCTCCATGATACACTTTTAGCACTTAGGATTTTCATATTTACATCCACAGTGTTTCTGTGTTACGCTTTAATCGTTCCGATCGCCCGCTGCTCTAAATATATTCAGTTCCTATGCGTATTAACGCACTAAGACAGACTGATAAATAACTTTTTATTTGTATTGATTTTTTTTTATCGAGAGGTGCGTATATGTTTATATACTAATTGTTACGTTAATATTCTTCTGAAATACAAATTTTACAAATGCGATTTAGTAATCGTGCTTAGCGTACTGTTGTATCGTGAGTATTTATCTATGCACACTTTCACTCATTTCAGTCCTATACAGTATTTTTTGTATAATTTATTGTAACTTGTGGAAAGGTTGGTATTTATTCCCTGTTGAAAGGTGTCAGGAATACGTTATGCCATGCACAATTCTATTCTATTCTATTCTATTTTAGTAAACCCAATAAAAACCTGAATAAACGTTGACAAACTGAGAACTGGAGCGCGCGCGTTTTCAGTTAGACGAAACTGATCTTTCTTTCCCGCTCTTCTTTCCCGCGTTTCTTTCCCGCACTTCTTTCCCGCCTTCGAGCGCTGAGGTAAAATAATAATAAAAAAGAAACGTTTATGTGTCGTTTTTATTCTCTAAATTCACTTTTGTCAAAGGTTTCCTCTTAGAATTTTTGGTGCCATCTGAAAAATGTACATAAATGTACTGTAGGTCGTATTAATTTAGCGTCTAATCAATGCGTCAAATGAAGTGTGTCATTGAAGGCAATGGCGTTAAAGGTATGACCATTTTTATTATCTAAATAAATCTTCTCTGAGCGGGTTCTGTTGTTAATAAATGTCTCTGTTTACTGTTCTTAGTCTTTGGAAAAGCGGTTCATGCTATATCAAGAATTGCTGATGAAATATGGTTGGATCCACTGGAGAAGGGGGTATGTGATGATATATATATATATATATTCACTACTGTGCAAAAGTCTTAGGCTATTAGTATTTTCACCAACAACAACAACAACAAAAAATGGTTTTAAGTCAGTTATTTCTATCTTTCGCTGTAGTGTGTCAGTAGGAAATATCAGTTTACATTTACAGATAGGGTTGCCAACTTCAGAAAAGGAAAATAAGGGACAATTGTGGTTTTTCATAGAAAAATAAGGGACAGAATAAGGGATACACTCACCGGCCTATTATATATATATACAGTGGTGTGAAAAAGTGTTGGCCCCCTTCCTGATTTCTTATTTTTTTGCATGTTTGTCACACTTTAATGTTTCAGATTATCAAACAAATTTAAATATTAGTCAAAGATAACACAAGTAAACACGACATGCAGTTTTTAAATGAAGGTTTTTATTATTAAGGGAAAACAACATCCAAAACTACATGGCCCTGTGTGAAGAAGTGTTTGCCCCCCTGTTAAAACTGTGGTTTATCACACCTGAGTTCAATTTCTCTAGACACACCCGAGCCTGATTACTGCCACACCTGTTCGCAATCAAGAAATCTCTTCAATATATATATATGTAAATGGAGTCTCTTATGCTCATCAATGCTGTATTTATTTGATCAAAAATACAGAAAAAAACAGTAATATTGTTAAATATTATTGCAATTTCTAATATTGGTTTCCTATCTTATTATACTTTAAAATAATACGATTTAATTTATTTCTGTGACGCAGCACTGAATTTTCAGCATCATTACTCCAGTCCTCAGTGTCACATGATCCTTTTATAAATCATTCTTATTCTGATTTATTATCAGTGTTGAAACTGTTGTGCTGCTTAATATTTTTTTGGAACCTGTGTTCCATAAATAAAATAAAAAGTTAAAAAGAACAGAATTTATTCAAAATGGAAATCTTTTCTAACAATATCACTTTTTATCCATTTAACACATCCTTGCTGAATAAAAGTATTCTAAAAGTTTCTTTAAAAAAAAAAAAAAGAAGAAGAAAAAAAGAAATTTACTGACCCAATTTTAACTGTAAAATTTTGTAAAAACGCTACGGGAAAAAAATTTTAATAGGTTAACAGTAAGTTCCCGTACTATATACAGGGAAAACTCTAAAATATCTAACCAGACATTTCATGTAATTTTACAGTTTTTAGAAGTAAAAATTACAAATCAATGTATAATTTACAGTCAAAAACGGTAAACTGATATTCCCAGGATTCCCTGCGTGACACTCCACATTTGAAAGTATTTTGTTTAAATAATCATGTTTTTTTAATAGTTTTTGTTATCAGTTATGTACATTTGGGCTTTATGTTACATCTTCTGTTGTTTAATGAAAGTGTAATGCATTATTTAAGTATCATGTGTGTTACCATCATGGTGTTTTGTGTTTGCATGAATGACTCTGTGCACCTTTTATATATTAGTATATACTTCTGCTTGTGGCAAAGCTACTTGTGATGAGCTTTGATTCTTCATGTGGCTTTCTCTTTTACCACCTGCATTATTATGGTGGTTGTCAGTATGTTAAAGGTACAAAACAGATTTTAATAGCAGTGTGCATTGTTGAATTTACTGGTTTACTTTAAAATTTTCTTGTTTGTAAATTACAGTTTTTAAGTGCCTAAAACTTTTCACAGTAGCTTTGTAGGAAGGTTTCTTCAAGTGTTTTAAAGATGTTGCCACAGTTCTTCTGAATTTAGTCTGTCTTGGTTTCTTCTGTTTCTTCATGTAATCGCAGACGGGGTGCGTAACTGGCTTAAAACCATTTTTTGTTGGTGGAAAATATTAATGGCCTGATACTTTTGCACAGTACTTTTTTATACACTGCCCTACAGTGTTGGGGAAAGTTACTTTTAAAAGTAATGCATTACGATATTGCGTTACTCCATAAAAAAAGTAACTAATTACGGTACTTAGTTACTTTTTATGGAAAGTAATGCGTTACGTTACTATATATATATATATATATATATATATATATATATATATATATATATATATATATATACAAATCCACAACATAAAAAAATATATATATTTGTGTCTAAAAACAACTAGAGAATTTACAAGCCTTTTAAATAGAGCTCTATATGAATCTAGTGGCTAATCATGGAATTGCAGATGTTTAAAAATTTTTTACTCCCACCAGATGGAACTAATCTGCATTAAAAAATGGGATTTAAAAAAGGCATTGTCTCTATTCTAACATGAAATACTGCCATAATTGAAAAGTAATATAAAATATTGTGTGGGGGGGGGGGATTATTATTTTCAAAGGGAAAAAATGTATCATAATTATTGCATAAATATTAATTAGTACCATGAAATTCATTCAAAATACAAAATACAAAATAAAAAATAATACTGAACAAAAATGTCACCCCCAAATGAACAAAACCAGAGGGTTAAATCAAAATTTACTTGAGATGCGAAATGAAGATCTATTAATGGGGCAGTTGGTTTTTCTGAGCCCATTAGCAGATATTTGTCCTTGGTAATATTAATAACTATAAATAACGTTTTATATTTTATTTTGATCAATTTCTCATAAAGAGATCTTTAGTTATGTCATTTTGCAACTTAAGTAAATGCATCCTAATTTATGAATGTTTACACATTTGCACTGGAAAGCAAGACAAAAATACTGCTGAATAAATTATTATTATAGAACCAGCAATATTAATACCCAGTGCCTTAACTCGTATGCATCAGTATTATTCATTCATTGTACAGTGTTTACTGATTATCATATGCTTTTTAATAATTTTCAGTGCGAGCTTCCCCTGTTTCGTTGTGCGTCGTGGAGAGAGCGCAGTGTGGACAGATGTGAGATATCCATCAACATCCCAAACAGCAGGGTGATATTTCAGTTTCACTGCAGACACGATTAGTTCATTTGTATGTGAAGAACATACTGAAACTGGTAATGCATTGACAGAGGGAGAAACAGATTGGTGTTGGCGGATGTAATCATGGGGTGACAGCACACGTCACTGGACTCTCTTCTGTGATGATGAGATGCTACAAATCATTTCCATATTGCATAATCCATCACAATTTACCACATTTGTTCTAATCAAGATTCCTAATGCATGCATTAGGAACAACTAAGACCTATAATTTGGGGTATCAGGAATGTGAAGCATTGCAGGCTGTGTTCCCAGCTCACCTCTGTCCAAATGTCCTGAGTGAGTGCACATATAATTCAGCATGAGTTTTTCTGAAACTCTTAGTGGATTATTTCTTTATTTAGATTATTTATGTTTACATAATAAATCGTCAATGGCTGTGTCTCAAAACCAAGTGAGCTGCCCTCTTAGACAGCTTTTTTGGGCATCATAGTCTTGGGCATCCAAGCCTTTTTGATGCACATGCTTATGCTGTCTATAGGTGGGCAGCTCACTAGGTTTTAAGACACAATCTTTTAGTGTCTAAACTTATTGGTAACACTTTACAATAAGGTTCTATTTATTTACAATAGTTAATTACATTAGTTATTAGTTGAAAAATACTTTGTAATGTATTAATCTTAGGAAATGTTAATTTCAACATTTATTAATACATTATTAAAATCAAATGTTGTATCTGTTAATATTATATAGGGCCCTATGAAATCCGTTAGATTTTTTCTCAAATTCCGTTTTTTCCGTTTAAATTTTTCTAGACTGTTTTAATGGTTACATTTAATTGTATTAATCAAAAAGCATGTCTAATTAATAGAAATCATGAAACTTACAATATTTAACAGCAATTTATTAAAAGTTTAACAAAACTTTAATTTTTAAGGCCCTATGAAATATTAAATTTTTTTCTCAAATTTAGTTTTATTTTTTACAAAATTACATTGTAATGGTTTTTCGTTACGTTTTAACAATCAAAAGCATCTCTAATTAATTGATTTAAAAAAATTATATATATTTTTTTTTTTTCAGAAATAGTGTGTTCTGCTAAATAAATTCTGGTAAATATTTCTTTAAAAATAATGTTGTAATAATAATTTTATTATTATTATTATTGAAAACACCGCGAGTTCGCGCGCTTCAGTATGTGTGTAGTAAACAAAACCGCGCGTCTGTGCCATTCATTCACACAGAACTCG